ACGCATTAAGGCTGTTCCAAGAAAAACACGAAGTCAGCGGAGTATGGGGTCATTAGAACGGGTTCAAATGCTTATGCATGGGCATCTGCCAGAAGAACATTGCACGTCGCCTTGGACCAGCCAGTTTAATGAACCGGAAGTGTTTTATACGGGAGAAATGCAATTACTTATGTGTTGGTCTCCGGTTGCCTCTGTGTTTCCCCCATTTCTCTTCATTCCATCGCCTTTTTCTGTCTCTTTTTGGGTATGCACACAGCTTTTGGTTCGGCCAAAACGTCAAATATGAGTAACAACTGTTGGCCACTTTTTTTACCCAGTCATCGAAAATTGCAGGGGCTATTTATTTTCGTAAATATTTTTAGTAAATAGGAAAAACCCTTTCTTTAAAAATTAAATTAAATTAAATTGATCTAGTTTTACTCGCAATAACAAACAGTCCAATTTAGTTTCCAAGATTGGCCAATTGCACTTAAAACAAACAATATGTTTCAAGGGCGATTTCTCAATTTCAAGATAGGATTTTAAAAGAAAACACAACTTTTCTTTCACACAATTATATTAATTGATTCGAACGGCAAATCTTTTAAGGGTTTTTCGGTGAAAAATTCGGCAGAATTAAAAGTTAAAGTTGGCGAACTTTTTCACTAGATGGCCTTCGGTCAAGAGTTTTTATTTATGATAATTTAAACAATTTAATTCAATTTCAAAATGAGAACTGGGTACCTAAGAGTTGAGCTGCTTTTCTGATGATTTTTTTCTGCTGTTTGTCCCGTCCTTTTGGGGACAGTCATTGCATTGCTCTTAAGTGCTGGAACTCTTTGTTCCCTTGACAGAGACAGCGGCAGCCTCCAGCCAAAAGTCATTAGATACTGCAAAAGTAAACACAGGGCTGGCCGCCAGCAGACACCGGACAGGATGGGGAAGTGGCAGAGTTGTGGGTTCAAGCCAGAGCGCCACGTGAGGGAATTTCCCTATGGCGATTTTGCTGAATGCGCTTCCTCTGGACACTTTATGTGAACACTCTGTCTGGGATTTGTTTAGAAAACTGTTGATATATTATTAGCAATGGCATGGCATATTCTTGAATAAAAAACTTTCTGTTAAAATGTTATCATGATTACAGGGTAAATGGAAATGGTTGAAGCCTGAGTTGTTGTGCTAGAGTTGAAGTTATTATGTTGCCCCTGCTTTTCTGCTTACTTTTTATATTCTTGCTCGCTTGATTTAATTTGCTAATGCATTTCTCATTTCATAAAATATATTATTTCACTCTAAATATATTACGACCCTATCAGTTAATTAACATCGAGTACTATCTGCAGTAAACGTTAAAATCAGTGCTTTTGAGATGTTACAAAACAAAAAAGCGAATACGCGGAAACAGGAAGCCAAATAATTTAATTCAATTGAGGGTGAAGTTTTTAGTAGCGCACTTTCCGGGGCACACACGACATTGGCAATCGTGGTCCTCTATTGCAAGCTGCAACGTTTGCTGAGCGGTCCACTGGCAGCTTTTGCCAGTTTAACTAGTTTGAAAGCCATTTGGGAGTGCCAGGACCAAACTCTCTGCAGGGACACAGCCCCGACAACAGATCTCGAGCACAACAGTCAAACGGCTTGACTGGCATGCACTTGTCAGCCATTTAGCCTTGCTTTTTTCCCCAGACCGACGCGTCGGTTTGGTAACAGCTACTGCAGCAGCAACAACCTGCCATGGCCATGGCCGTAAGTGGAAACCATTTTCAAAACTTAATTTGCCATTTGTTCGGCGAGTGTTTTGCAACCGTGCCGTAGACAATTTCATTACATTTCCTCGAGGCGTCGGCAATTGGCTTGCAAGTTCACTGCGCACGGGAATTCGGCTGAATTACTTTGTAAGTACTTAAGCTACTCATTACCTGCATTTCTCGCAGTAGTTGTCTTTTATTTAATAGTGTTTTAATGAAGACGGACCTATGAGTATTCAGCAATTTCTTGGAAAAATAACGAACTGAAAACTTGCTTTATACGGGTAAAACTAAAAGTCATAGCAAGGCGTTTTATTCAAGTAAATAAATTATTAGACTAAAACCTTAAAATAAATTTTTAAAATGCTATTACTTTTCTACATAAATTAAAATCTTATTTTCCGTATCAATTTAAAATGTTAAAAAAAATGATTGTTAAAAATATTTAGAATAAACAATAATGTTTTAAAACAAACAAAAAATTTTATTATTGTCATGGTTTTCAGTTATGCAAAAATGTATCCTAAGTACTTATAGTATTTAAACAAAAATAAAACAAAAAATAATAAAATGTTAACTTGCTTACCATAGCAGAAGCATCAATCGTTTGGCTTTGAGATATTATATTCTAAATTCGAAAGAGATAATAATAATCTTAAAAGATAATAATTAAAACTTACCGTAATTATCAAAATAAGTCAACAATTTCATTTTGATTAAAATAACTCATCCAGAAAATATCAACCATCAGTTAATTTTCTATTTTTCCGTTGATTAAATTTTGTCTAAAACGCGGAACCCGCGAAACTCGACTGTTTGACTTGGCACAAGTTCTGTTGTCATTGTGCTGCTGCTTTTGAGTGACACATTTCACGCCGAAAGTTTTCGAAACCGCCAGACACATTGACAAAGGAAACTTTCGGGCCTCTGCGGGATGCTCCCATTGTTTTCCGAGGTCGGAATGTGTTTGAAAGTGGTTTAGACCCCCTTGCCTAGACCAAAACTGAAGTGCCTGCTTACATGTGTCACAATGTCGCTCAATTTTAATTGAATTTATTTGCTTTCTGGTTACACTTTATTAAAGTTTTTCATTCCTCCCGAAGTTTGCTTTTGACCGTCTTCACTTCTCAAGCATTTCAAGAACTCTATTTAAACCTGTTTGGCAGTTGTCCTAACTAGTTGGCTCTTCCATCATCCTCAGCTTGCCATAAAACTGCAATTTGTAAACTATTCTTGGCTGACGTTTCATTTGCTGTATCGTTCTGCTTTTGGGTTTTTTTCCCTCTGCTCCTCCTCTCTCATATAATTCATGTCACACAAAAATTTTATTACTATGAAAAAGAAGGAAAAGAAACCCCACAACAAATAACTTTTGCTTGCCAGTGGCCAGAGCCACAAATAGTTTCCAGTACTTGACCATTTCAAAAGGACCAGGACACACACTGCTGTACAACGAAACCAGTGAACAGCAAATAACAGATCTGCTTTTTTATCCTACAACGCAAATACATAATGACAATTTATGTAGTCGAAATACTGGCTCAGGTGGAGATAAGGGGAATTTTACAACTTAGTTTGCTGAAGTAAGTTTTTGAATTCAGTATGCACTGTATTGTTTATTGAATTGTTTTTGCTAGCTTTAATTTTAAATTGTTATGCTTATATTATTTTCACGTGCTTAAGACAATTGAAAAGTTTATTTTGATAAGGTTTACTAAAAACAGGGCAATTACTTTTAATTGATTGCATTTATTTAGATTAAAATTAAATCCACATAAGGCAAGCAAATAAAGTAATTAGTGTTATTGGTTTCCTTTAATAAGTTTAAATAAAATAATTGCGTAGGCATCAGCCAAAAATCGGTAGCTGGCTATACAATACGGAATGTGTAACCAAATAATGTCACTTCAATTCAATGCTCCTACTGCTTTGTGGTCTTTTAACATTCTGGGGTAGAGTAAGTCGAAGGACTATGACTTACGACCGCACATTCGTAACGATTAAATTGCAGGCCAGGTAGGACCGACTTGACAGGGGCCTCCGGCTTGATGAAGTGCTCTGGTCCGGACGGTTTATTAGTTTGCTTTCTTAAAATCTACTTTGAAATGGGTCCCGGTAAGTCGCCACAAGATGTCAGGAAAATGTAACAATCTTATTTTGAGTATGACAGGTCACAATTGGCATCGGATTGCCCTGAAGACTTATGTGTAATTCAGAACGAAAAGGCTAAGAAAAATATAAATTAAACGCATATGCTTCTGTTCTATTTAAATACCTTAATTCACATAATGCAAAATCGTTATGCGGTGCTATGGTAGATAATTCGATTAGCAATGTAATCAAATTTGCCCATTGCCCATTTTAATTTTTCGCTGTGTTAACTACTACCTACCATTGATTTATCATGATTTCAATTGCCTAGTGGCTGCCCATTGGCAATATTTGTAAAATTGTGGTGCCGCCATGGTGGCTGTGGTTTACCAGGGCTTAAAGCACGAATGCCAAACAGTAGTCATCAAAATCAAAGGGCCATTCAGTTGATAATTGCGCAATAAATGCACAAGCATAAGCATTAATGCAAATTAATCTTTAACTGGTTGTCGTTGAGTTTTGCTTTTTTTTTTAATTATAACGTTAGGTTGATAATGAAAATTAACTTTTGAAGGCTGGTATAATGTTTTTATAAACCCTTAACTGTATATGTATTATATATATATTACTCATTTTACGCATTTAAATGCCCAGAATATGGTAGCAGAAAATTCTTGAGTATTTATACAGGAACTTATCGCAAAGTTATTTGCAATACCTTGCGCAGGCATAACTTTTTGGGGGGGAAAAACAAAAGTTTTCCTTCATATTGTCTTCTTGTTCTGAACTGTTCGATCCGGTTATGAACTTTCTCGTCGAACTTTTCGCATGCCAGCGTTTTAATTGAAGCCCAATGGAACTCACCTCGCAATCCCCTATAGCTGTTGATGCACTGACCTGCGGAGTGGGTTGCATGTTGGCCTGTCGGGTGTTGTTGACCCAGTTGAGGGTTAATTCGCTCGCCCACACAAAGACGCTCAACTGGGTACATAAATTACCTAGTGACAAATCGCCTGTCCGCACATTCGTCCCTATTTGTCATCTGTTTGTTTATTTGATCAAAGCATGCCAGCAGGACAGGCTACTTTGTCACATGCTGACAAGATGGAGCCATCCCTTTCCTAGTAAAATTGGTTTATTATAGAAATACTTGATACTGCACACATTTAAACAGCCTGCATCTTTGTTTCAACATCCATTATTTATTCGTGTGTAGTAATGCTTCTTAAAAACATCCTTTTCGTCTACTTGCGAATAGTTGTTATTTAATGTTTAATACTCAGCTGTGTCTCATTGGTGATATTAACATGCATTTTAACTGAAGCTTCAATATTTTTGTTAATTTTCACATTGATTTGTTTACATTTTTGCTATTTATACATAATTTTTATATTTGTTATTTCCAATTGTGCATTTTTTCTTGTACAATATTTTTCCAATTAACTTTTACTTGCTACAAACACAACCCTTAACTAGTGGTAAGTTGAAACAACAACATTTTCCTTAACTTACGCCTGTTTTAAATTACGATTTCGCTTTGATGAATTTCTTAAGACATATATTATAGTGAGTTTCACGTTTACAATTAAGTTTTTGGTATGATCTTGCCTTAAATAGTTTTATAATTTCATTAGTCTACATATATAATAACCTTTTACTTATAAAAATGCCTTTCCAAGTTTCCATAACTTATCTTAATCGTTCGTAATACATTGATACAACAGCCAACATTCAATTGTAGCTAAGAGTTCAGTAAAGTATCCTAAATTAATTTATTTATATTATTTTATTTCTTATTTAAATTTCTTAATCCTTTGATGAGACCCTTTCGTACTTTAATGCCTTTCTTAATTACCTTTAGTTTATCAATGAGTATTCTCATGCACTTCAGCAATTAAACATTCTTCGCTGTCTAACTTATTAGCGTTAAAATCGCTGACTAACACTATCAATAATTACGTATACGCAGTGGAAACTTGTGATCAAAGTAGAGAAAACCAAAAGTACACCAAAGCATGTGACATGTTTTTGAAAGCCTAATTCAAGCCAGACTTAAACTTTCAAAAGCGGGGCTCATGGTCAGCACAATTTTGCGTAATTTTGGTTTTGGCCCTACACTTTTGTCATCCCATTTCCTTACCCAATTTATTTTTAGCATTTGATGCTATTAACCGACATTCTTACAGCTTAGTGCCTAGATATATACTTTATATATTATATATAGTATGTCTATGCTCGAAAACACTTTACAAGCTTGTCGAGTAGCTTACCCATAAGAAAATGCCTTCGTGGCTGTCTTAGACCTGACACATTTTATTAGCTATGAAAATTTCGTGATAAAATAGTTTTACTTTTATGTGCACGACTGCCAGCTAGTTATTTATTATGCTCACACACAAAATGCATTCTCACGTTTCCATTTACCTATAAACGCACTGATATTGCTGGAACTTTAGTGAAAAGGGGGAAAAGCTTAAGGACGTTTTGTTATATTTTAGCATATGAACTCAGAAATGTTTTCCTTGAATTAAATATTAATATTTTACAAAGTTATAATATTGGCAATCCATTGTGATACTGCACTAAGAATGTAATACAAAAATAATCATATCAGGAAGGGACTTTAATGCGATTCCAGTTAAATTCCAGTTGAATGCCTGCTGCCGGTGTTTTGGCCAATGCCAACTGTCAGTCAGCCTCAATACTCGTGATTTCACCGATCCGATTCTGTTGGCCCTGCAAATCTCATCAATGTCAGCTTACACATGGCTTTTTTTTTTGGCCTTATAGTTGCTCCATCAGCCGTGGAAATGTTTGCTTTTTTGAAGTCGAGAAAATTATTTTTCTTCTGTTCTGCAGGGCAAACAACGAGTTCGAGGGGGAGGCCTTGCGTTGACATATTTCCACACAATTGGGCCAAAAAGCGTCGCTCGAAATTTAATTCCGTGTGACTGGCGAAAGCCAAACCAAAACGACAAATGTCTGACAGTTGTTAGGTACAAATTGAAAGCGACAAAGGCAAACTGTTCTTCGGAGAGCGGCTGAAATCACCCTTCGAGGCATTGTAAATATGCGAAATGGCCCGGCAATTGTCGCGACTTGAATGGCAACGAAAAATTCGGGAAAAAATAGCTTTATAAAGAGGCCGTTCTGCCTTTGGGCCCAGTCACACCCCACACACACACACTCCATTACCCCACCCAGTCACACCCATAAAATATATACACCACACACACAAACACACACACACACACACCTCTGATATCAATGACTTGTGTAGCTGTTTCAGCCAATTGCTAGACAACCAACCTCCTTGCCACCACTTTCCACATCGTTGTCACTTGATTTGCCATTTATCAGCATTTCTCTACTCATCCATGCGGAGAAGTGTTTCTTACAAAAGGACCTCCGAGATCCAGCTGACATTTCCCTGCATTATTTTGGCTTGAATTACTGGCACAATTCAATAGAAGTCCGTCCAAGAAGATGCTTAGAAATGCGTTTCGAAAATCTGTAAAAAAAACACAAATAGAAAAGAGTTAAAATTGGGCCAAAGTCGGACAGATTGATTGACTGTCACACTTAGAAATACAATAAGGCGTATTTAGATTCGTAAAATTGTCAAGTTTATGCTTTTTTAATATCCCACACACTCGCTTGCGAACAGCAGTCCTGCTACTTAGTGCGTATACGTCGCCCACGTTTAACAAGCCCGAAAGAATGTCGTAATACTTCTTCACGTTCAAGCAGCTTATGCCAATTTGTTTGCCATCTTGCCTCTACAAATCGTCTTTGAATTGCAAATAAAAACAGCAGAGGTCGAATGTGGTAAGGAAATGTTTCCAAATAGTGTAGCATAATGTATTTAGTGCTGAGTATGCTGAATAAAAATATAAAAACAGCAAATTTTTCCATAATTTTTCCGATTGTACCTATGGAAGCTATATGCTATTGTCGTCCGATCGGGCTCGTTTCGTCTTATGTGCGAGCTGCAATAGGAAGTCAACTTTTGGGAAAGTTTTAATACTGAAAGAGTAGTTTAAAGACAAACGGACATGGCTAGATCAACTCTCCTAGTGATACTGATCAAGAATATAAGTACTTAATAGGGTCGGACATGTCTCCTTCACTGCGTTGCAAACTTCTGACTGAAATTATAATACCCTCTGCCAGGGTATACAAATAAGTGTAATCCGTAACTCCTGTATAGCAACAACGGTTCGCCCAGATGCCGTAGTCATCGTCAGCAGGCTCCAGTCGTCTGCCCAATTAAACGAGCATCGGATTGCAAGTTGATTCTGCTTTCGTTATTGTTTGCCCAGGCTTGTTGACATCGGCATCGACTTCGTTATTGTTGTCGTGATGGGCATATCCTTGTTTTATACCCACCCCGGGAAGTCCTAATTAGCATTAACCACTTGTTGCACAAGAGCTAACGGCCCCTTATTTTCTCGTTTTCCTCTTCACAATAATATGCATTACGTATACGCAGCGGTGACGTGTGGCAGTTTACAGGTCTTTATTATTTAATCAATTTAATTATAAAGTGTGAAGTGAGAAACAGTTTTATTAATCCCTTCGTTTACAATATGTGAAATATGTGATATAAAATAGGTAATTTTGAAAACGAACTAATCGATTTAAAATCCAATTAAAAAATACTTCCTAATTGAATGCCCACTATTCTAATAATTTTTCCGCAAACTGCATTTTGTATTTGTTTTACTCGTATGCGCATATTTTGCCTACTATGTATTTTAATATTTTGGCTTTTTGACTTCCGCTTCCAAAGCCCCTTTGACATTTATAAATATTAATTAAAATTACAATTCAAACTCTTCAAAATTTGACACAAAAATAACGAACAAACTGCGGTTGTCGACCCATATAGTGAGAGTATCGATTTATTATTGTGATGAGGCTATCATTTTGCACTCTGTGCGTGGGAGAAGTACGTGCGTAAAAAATTATTAATAAATTTAAAAGTCGAACTTCGTAGTGGGCTTATGAATGCCTTTTATTTTTTAAATACTATTATGTATTATAATACTAATACTATTATTATGTATTTATACTCTTGAAAATTGTATTATATTTTAATGCACAGTGTGCACAGCCTTAAAAAGTTTATAATATTAAATGTATTATATACTGTTTCGCTAAAGAAATCCCCTTCATTTTGTAAGCTGTAATACATTCCAGTAAAAAATACTTCAAAGTAAACGGCTTAAATTTTTGTGTTGTGTAAATGGTTTTCAACGAGAACCAAATTGTTTAATGATTTTAATCACTTCGATTTGCTGAGGTTTCATCTATTAAGGTACTCAGCTGGTTTTATAAGTTTGTAGTCCATGTCAAATGAGAACAAATAATCGACCCATCTGGTTTTTGTGCCTTTAACGACAGGTTTGCTGCCGACAAATTAAATCAACTTGAATCCTAAATACCGACCGCTTGGGTGTTGATAATTGAAATAAAACTTGCCGCCTAACAAGGAGAAAAATAACAAAAACAGCTCAAAAGTGGCAGAACGGGAACGCAGGAGTAGAAGGGCTGGAGGTGGACAAGTAGGTCCCAACAAAGGTAAACTTTGCCCGCAGCCTTAGCCCTGGTCTTTGGCCTGCTGGTCGCCTTTGTTTGTCGTCGACCGAGAGTCCGACCACCTTGAACGCCGCTTTATTAAGTATTCATTATTGTCGACTGTGATTGTGTGTGTCTTGTGGGCGATCTGCGTGTAGCATTGTGTGCGTAAGTGCACAGAGACAAAAAAACAAAGCCCGCACATAGGTCATTTTAAAAATTTTTAAAAATTAATTGCGACTTGGGTTTTCTTTAATTTTAAATTCACGTTTTTCCTGATTTTGTACCAAAACTTACTCAATGTTTGTAACAGGTACAGGCATATCAGTACAAAATGGTAACGGAGACTCATTTGTGTATACTTTGCTCGAAAAAATTTAAGATATTTTCGAGAGTGGTATTAAGAGATAGCAAAACGGGTCCATCTTCACGCATGCTAAATAATTAAATTCACACATTATTCTTTGCATTTTTAAAAGCCTGCTCACCACGTCAAATGCCTTGGGAGTAGAGGTGAAAACGTTTAAAAGTTGAAATTAAAGTCAAAGAAAAGACACACAGTTTAAAATGTAGCATTTTGTGAAGACTTTTCTGTGAGTGTTTGGAGTGCGTGAGGGAACTACTTGGTTGTGGTCTGCCAATGGGAGTCCTTGACAGGAAGAAGGCGGAAACTGTAGAATCTCGGGTGAGCGGAGGTTTACCTCATTCACTTGGGACCCTATTTGCCAGCGGCACATTAATGTTTGTGTAATTAATTTTAATGATTGTACTTTAGATGTTCCCGAAAAGTGTCCCCCAAAAACAAAAGTTTTCATTTATTGCTTTGCTATTGTTCTTATTGGTGCTGAGATAAGTTTGTTTTTTTGTGTTGTTTTATTTCGCCTAGTTCCGAAAAGTTCTTTAATCGAAATAAATACGGAATGGCAAATATATGTTGAGCAAAACAAAGCAATAAAAAATCAATAAGAGAAATGGGACTGAAAGTGCAAAACAAAAAGTAAAAACATGATTTGGTATTTAAATTACTTATGAAAATAAATAAAATATAAAATTAAGTTTTTCAAATTTGCAGAAAAAATGTAATTTGCTGGTGATATCCATTATTCAGAAAAATAAGTGACTGCCATTTATTATGACCACACTTTAATTTATAAATGTTGTGACTACTAAAAGCAGAAAACTAGCAAAACAAAGCAAAGAAAAATGAACAGGAGAAAAGACACACTTATGAGTTTGTAAAAAAAAAAAAATGAGAAAATATATTAAAGTAAAATTAAACAATTGTTAATTAATTGAAGTTTTTACCTTTTGCAGAATCTAAAACAAAATTGATTTGAAAGTGGTATTAATTATTCAGATTTTAATGTGGGTACCGTTTAGTTTATTAATGTTATAACTATTTAAAGTAAAAACATTAAAAATCAATAATTTAAATCCCTATTTTCTTTTGTCAGCTAATCGCCATTTGCTTACTTGTCGTGTTTGACATCGCCTGAGAACTTTATACATTAACTGCTCATATCTTGTAGCTGCAGCCACATGCAATTGTCCCTTAGGACTTCTCATGCCTCGAGTGGATTTTAAGTTGGCCGCAATTGGATGGCGGCAGAAAACAAACTCTGCGGCTCCAGTACATATGTCAAGTTGGTGGAGTGGATGCCATGGGCACCACACAGTCAGACAACTACACAGATTCCAAGGACTCGGCTCAACAACTCGACGAGGAGGATGTTCTTTTTAATGAATTGCGATGCGGTCTAAATTTAGCCCTCAGATAGAGACAAACAGCGAGACAGCCGGCTGATTAGGGTGTCGTGGCATTTAATGAATTTTGCACAGGCAGTAATTAGGCAAAACAGGAAGTGCCCGAGATGGAAGAGGGGGAGGGGAGGGACAAGGACTCGAATCGGGATCGGATGACAGTTCAATGACAGTCGCCGACACGTGTTGGTCTTTATGTAAATGAAGGTGTCGCACTGACATCACCGTTTAATGGAATGTTATCAACTCCGAGCCGGAGCCTCTCGACACCTCATTACTTTTATTTGATGTTTAAATTATGCCGAGAGACGAAAAGTGCTTTAAATATTGCAAAAAATTACTCAATGTATGCATGTCATGGGAACATTTAACGCAATGAAATTTAATGAGCCCAAAATGGCGCATTAAATGACAGCACCAGGATCACATCCAGGAAGTGGGTGATGTCAAGTGGGCCCGAAAGTAAACTGATGTATTTTTAATTGCTGCATAAATTAAAATAGATTTACATTACAAGAGCGGCCGAAAGAAGAGCTGCCTTTCTTCCGAAAATGGGTGGAAAATCCCAGCCCCGAAAAAAGGATTCCCAAGTGAGTGTGTGGACAGCTCGCATGCAAATATTTGCTGCCGTCAGGAAGAGGCCCTTCTTTTCAGGCCGGGTCGACAGAGTTCAATACCGGTTAAGTCCATGCAAATCTGGCTGGAAATTCTGCTTACTCAAATCAAACACATGGACAGTGAACTTATGCCGCGTCTACAAGTCGCCGGGTTAAGTGAGGTCTGAGCACTTGAGCCGTCGACTTATTATAATATTCCACCTAGGGCATCGCACTTTTAATATAATTCTATTTCGGGGTAATCCCGCTTATAAATTATTTCTGAATAATGAGTAAATGAATATTTTTCGAGAGAAATATACATATTTCGGCACTATGTTTAATCAATGTATTTATTTTTGGAGCACTTAAAAATTTAAATTGGCTTGGACCAAATTATACTTTTTAGCAATTGCGATGTTTCACATATTTTATTAAACTAAAATAATATTTTGGTTTGTTTTGCTTTGCAATGTAAGCCAGCTTTAAATTTACTTTTTACTTTAAAAACCCCTTTTACCTTCTTGCTGAAAAAGTTGTCAAACACCCATTTGTGACCCTGGTTTTGCAACTT